TGGTGATGATATCACTGCTAGAGTATTTAGATGGTCTAAAATTACTTCACAAGTTCTCAGTGCAGCCCGTGAAATTCATTTGGACATTTCGTGTATGTGAATTAATTGGTTGTGATAGGAGTATTAGATGCATGTGGAGTGCATGTGACAATCCTGTTGAAGATAGATTTCAGAGTTGTGAATGCTAACAGAAAATGTACTTTGCTGTGAGAAAGTTTCAAAGGGAAGTGTGTATTATATAGACTTTGAAGAACACCAGATTTTTTCATATTTTACAAAGTATAAATAATCTTGAAAATACTTGTTCAGAAAATAGAGCATCTTGATGGATGTATTGGTCAGAGGCGGATTAGCATTACTGCTAAGTGAGTGAGTGAGTTGGGTTTAACGCCGCTTTTAACAGTATTCCAGTTATATCACGGCTTGTCAGCTTAATGTGGGAGGAAAGCCCGAAGTGATGCGGGTCTAAGACGTTTATTACTTCAGTCAAACCAACGAGCATGGCTATGGTGCTGACAAACCTTAAGAAACGAACCCACTATCACAGGTTTCTGGGGTGCCCAAGGGATGCAACTCTGCACAGCAAATCGTGGTGCTTTAGTAGGGGGGGGGGGGGGGGTGCGAGGGTGAGGCAAGAGATGGTTTACCATGTTTTATTTTCCTACTTTTTATATATTTTTCTGGTTTCACTCGGGTAACAGAATTTGTTTGATTTACTGCTGATGGTAGCTGACACTGTGAGTTTGACAAGTTTGTTACTGACGTCAAATAATATTAGCTTGTCATATTCAGCTATGAGTCATGAATTTGTTACTGAGGTGATGTTTATGTGAAAAAAGGTATAGTTAAGCAATCAGGACTTTGGAAATTGTTTATCATAACCATTAGCATGTTATGTCCAGGTTCGCCATAACCATGTTCTCCTGTACGTAGTGTTAACTAGAACGCCTACTTCATAGCATTATCTGTATATGAGTTCAAGTATTTGTTTGATTTCAAAAGTAATAATAATCATAAATGTTAATATGACAGTGTCAGTTAGTGAGTGGGTGGCTAGGATTTGATGCTTTTAACAATTTTGTAAGCAATATGGCAGGGAAACCAAATTAAGAATCAAACCCAGGTCTTAGGTGTGCTTTGCAAACACCTTAACCACTAGGCTACCCTACATACCTTGTCATTGGTATCAAAGATTATGATTGAAATATAACTCCATTTAAATGCTCCTCATTTGCAATTCAGTGGATAGGTTTGTATTAATTATGAATTTATAAATACATTTCCATGTAATGATTCATTTAACGTAGTTAGAACAACATAATGACCATTATCACTCGTTTTGAAATAAGTGCAATTCAAATATTTCCATGTCGTTGACACAAAGGTTGTTCACTAATTGTTCTAGGTTGATAACAAGCTAAATGGAACATTTTCCTGACTTGGCAAACTTTGAAACCTTTGGCTGTCACAGCAGAGATGGCAAACATTTTTATACTGCATTTATAAAATGTCATCCGAAGCCATTACCACATAAGTGGCCACGATTGGCCTGCATCCATCCATCAATCCAAGGTGCAGTGATAGGGACAAGATGGCTGCCAGTTGCCGTCTGCTTCTTCCAAATGTCATCGGATAATGTGTGCCACTCCCCTCGGTTGAAAGGGAACCAAGAGCAACATTGTCTTGTTTGGTAACAATCAGTTCTCTGTAATATTGTGTGATTCATTGATTCAGCTCCCAGATGAAATGATTCTCTGACATTTCTGAGTATACATTATGGATAGCATTTGTTGTGTTTGAACTCTTTCAAATAATTGTGTGTGTGGATATGGTCTTGAATACAGATTGAAGCAGCAAGTTTAAATCTTGGTTTTTCCCAATGAATGAGCAGACAAAAGGAAAAAAAGTTTTAGAATTGTGATTTTATAACTGGCAATAGATTATGTTTTCTATCACTTATATTAAGATGATTAATTTGTTGCATAAATCTTCAATGATTTCAATTCGAAAACTTAGTAAAGAATGATTTAATTAATTTGTTGATGACAATATGATTAGCATGCCCTCTTTTTGTAGCCTGAAACATTGCTTGTGATAAAATACCTTGCCATTGATTAAACAAAAATTAACACTTAATCATGGTAAACAACCATTAAAGTCTCAGTCAGACTTTTTAAAATGTTGGAAATCTTTAGAAATAAAAATCTAATAAAAAAGTGATGATTATGAACTTTGACAAAAGACATGAGTTCAAATTGAGATAGCTAATTAAGGTTATTAAGTAAGAATGAAATAGTAAATAAATATGGATCGTGTGTCTGGGGTGCGTCATATATGCTCATCATCCAAGTGAATGTGTTGGGCGTGTACTGAGGTACATTGCAGATGATTGAGATGACCCTGACATTTACTGTAAGACGCTGAATAGGATAAGCAGGCATTGATTGATGTGTTATATAGCAACCGTGGTATCTCAGCAACTGTGTACATCATTAGGTTCCATCCAGCTGTTTATGTAGTGGTCTGGCACACATCACTTCTCATTGCAGAGTTACGTGTCTTGGCCATGCCAGGATCTGCAGCAGAACAAAGGTTCACTTAACCCTGATTATGTTCAGCTCCATGGATATGGTGCTGAAGTTCACCAACCTGATTTAGTTTGGGCTTTCTTCTTACATTTGCTTGTAGATGTGTGAACATTTTATCAATCCACCTCCAGTAGACAACCATTTATAGTTGTCTCCTAAATATGCCATGTTGCAGTTTGGCCATGTCAGACATGTATTGAGATGAAGAAACATTCAAGTACAAACTATACCATTAATAAAATCTATGGCCCTCATTCTAAGTACTCACTCACTCACTCACTCACTCACTCACAGTACACATTGTGACGGGTTCAAGAAAGTCCATGCTCCAGGTGTGGTGCCTATAGTTCCATCCTAGGTCTTGATATGTGAAACTGAGACTCTGGCCTCTGTATTGAAGGTATTCATGAACTGCGATACGGATCTACTTTCTCAAATTTGAGTTAACATTTCAACAAAATGACAACTTGAAACAAATTTGTTGGAGCTGCTGTGCTCCCTGAATAAGTGACCAGTTCCATGACTATTATAATTCCAATACTTTAATAAATACATAAAATAATTCAAGACTTCCTTTAAGTAATTATTATTTCCACGACCGCCCTCGTGGTCTAGTGATAGAGCGTCCGCCCTGAGAGCTGAAGGTCTTGGGTTCGATCCCCGGCCACGTCATACCAAAAGACATAAATAGATGTTACTTGTTTTTACCCTGTCTGGAACTTGGCATTAAGGGGCTAAAACAAGGACTGGTCGGCTCGGAGTCAGTATACCGTTTCTGAGTGGGGTATTCATGTTAAACTGCAGCATGGTATCTCAGTGGGCTAGCACTATAAATCGGTATCAGTCCGGACTAGTACAAGCCGCCACACACACACACATGCACATGCATGCACGTCGCTATATAAGTACAATAATCTTGGACGCGACGTTAAACCCCTTTTCACCTCACCTATTATTTTCACAGAATGGCCAAGTCCATTCTTCTGTTACCTGTGAGTTGTACCTCCTGTGGATGTAGTTAGTATATAGTGACAAGACATTGATGGTGAGCTGACAGTTGGATGTGGTGCACTTATTTCTAAGTGTTCTGTAATGATGATGTGTCTATTGTGCTGCTGCAACTGTTTGATTGGTTGGGATTGAGGTTATTTGTTTATTACTGGATCTTCCTGGTGTGGAGAAGAGCTCCGGTAATTGGTACTTCTGTGACACGGAAACATATTTCAACTTTACTGACAATGTAGTAAATTGGCTTGAAGGAGCCAGGTGAATCCTTTGGATTTTATAGAATTATGTTATATATTAAAATTAAAATTAAATTTTATGTGTCTTCTGTAGAAGCGAAAGGTTTTTTTAGCTTAGGATCTAAACATTATTGCTTCACCACGATTGATATGACATTCATTAGCCACGTTTGTGTATTGATATGATATGTATAAGTGTTCAAGGTCTAAGGAATGAAAATCAAGGGGTCCTTGTCATAACCCTAAATACTATAACAGCAAGCGCCAAGGACCCCGGTACCCCCTGTGTGATATCAATGTGCAGTGTCTAAGGCAAACACCAGGTGGGATTCAGTCCCCAGTGCCCTATGCTTGTGGTAACTGTCGTGGAATGAGGATTGGGTGTTTTCGTCAATGAAAGTGTGGATCATTGCTCATACTATCAACCACTGGCTTATCTGGTCCAGATTTAATCATTTACAGGCTGTCCTATAGCTGGAGTACTGCTGACTGGGTCTGTGTTTCAGTGTCTGATGTTAACATGTCTGTTTCAGTGTCTGATGTTAATGTGTATGTTTCTGTGTCTGATGTTAACGTGTATGTTTCTGTGCTTGATGTTAACATGTATGTTTCTGTGTCTGATGTTAAAGTGTATGTTTCTGTGTCGAATGTAAACGTGTCTATTTTTCAGTGTCTGATCTTAACATTTGTATGTTTCAGTGTCTGATGTTAACGTGTATGTTTCAGTGTCTGATGTTAACGTGTATGTTTCAGTGTCTTATGTTAACTTGTATGTTTCAGCGTTGAATGTTAACGTGTCTATTTTTCAGTGTGTGATCTTAACATTTGTATGTTTCAGTGTCTGATGTTAACATGTGTATGCTTCAGTGTCTAATGTTAAGGTGTCTGTTTCAGTGTCTGATGTTAAGGTGTATGTTTCAGTGTAAGATGTTAGCGTGTCTGTTTCAGTGTCAGATGTTAAGGTGTCTGTTTCAGTGTCTGATGTTAACGTGTCTGTTTCAGTGTCTGATGTTAAGGTGTCTGTTTTAGTGTCTGATGTTAAGGTGTCTGTTTCTGTGTCTAATGTTAACGTGTCTATGTATCAGTTTCTGATGTTAACATGTGTCTGTTTCAGTGTCTGATGTTAACGTGTCTGTTTCAGTGTCTGATGTTAACTTGTCTGTTTCAGTTGTGCAGGTGGGGAGCTGTTCCATGAGTGTGTTATAGAAGAGTCGTTCAAGGAGGCTGATGTGGTGCGCCTCATCATCCAGATCCTCGAGGGGCTCACATATCTACATGAACGCAACATAGTGCATCTAGACCTGAAGGTTGGTAAACACTGTCACCCATTTTGTACTGTATTTACCTTGTTTTGTGTGTTAACGATTACATGAGCATATATAACGAACACGCTTATAACGAACTGACCGATATAACAAACTAGTTTGTTTTAGTCCCGGCCATTTGTTGTATATATGCTTTATATATGCTTAAAACGAACTACGGTTATAACAAACTAAAGTTAGTGGTCCCTTTCAGTTTGTTATAACAGTAGCTTACTGTAGTGACTTCAAAATGTATTTGCAATTACAGTGAGTGAGCTAGTATGGTTTTACTCTGTTTTTTATAGTTTTAACAATAGTCCAGCAATACCAGAAATGGGCTTCACACATTCTACCCGTCTGGGGAATCGAACCTGGGCCTTTGGCATCATGGGCAAATGCTTCAACAACTTAGAGGCTAACCCACCGCCCCTTGCATTTACAGAGTCATGAATGTAAAAATCGGTGTGCACATTTTGCGTAAATCCAATACTCCAGGTTACACAGCTCCTTCATTTATACCTCAAATAACCGAAAAAAATATTGCAGTCAATTCTTAAATTTTTTTGTTTCGAATTTGGTTATTGTCAAAAGTAATGCTGATGATAAACAAGTGTACAGCCAATGTTTGCATTGAAATGGACACTCATGAAGAAAAAATTAAGAAAACTTTTTCACGTCTGGTTAGAACATGCACATGCAGCCATCAACAGATCTGTAATATGATAGACTGACCCTGTCTGCTGCTTTCTGCTGCTGTCTGTATTGTCTGCTGCTGTCTGTATTGTCTGCTGCTGTCTGTATTGTCTGCTGACTCCCACCCAGACAGCAGGAACACATGCAAGGAAAGCAGCTAGTTCTGGTCAAGTTCAACATGCTCTCTGTTGGGACTGCTAGACACAACCAGGCTAAACAGGGACATTATTTGTCGTTGGTTGTCCTGGTAATTAACAAATGAGATACAGACTTTATAGTTGGATGTTTGTGGGCGGAGAATGACCCAGTCCCATATCATACTCGCTGGACTTTAAGCCCGCAAAGATCTTGGTGAGAATAGGTCTTCAGCAAACTCATGCTTGTTGTAAGACGTGACCATGCTTGTTGTAAGAGGCGACTAACAGGATTGGGTGGTCAGCTCACTGACTTGGTTGATGCATGTCATCTTTACCCCATTTGTTCAGAATGATGCTCATGATATCGATCACTGGATTATTTACAGACCTGCCCTCATATATCTGGAATATTGCTGAGCGCCGTGTTAAACAACAAACAAGCAAACAAACCTATGAAATGCTCATGTGAATCACATCTGATGACAATATGTGTACACAAATGCAATTTTTCAAAATCATGTCATAAAAAAAAAAATGTGCCTCCCAAACATTTTCAATTTATTTTTGAGGAAAATAAAATAGTTAATTTCTTGTGGCTTAAGGTAACTCTAGGCAACACAAATCTCTGAGGAGATCACCTACTACTTAATATCAAAGTAACACAACAATCCTGTGTAGTGTAAATAGTTGAGCCATGGCGAGGGCGCTTGGCAGCAGCAACGGTACCCGTGTCGTGTGTGACAGTGTACCACACGCCTCTATGCTCTCCTATAGAAGGATTTATACACTATGGTGATTAAAGTGTTTTAATCCAATGTGGACTTTGAAGGGCCATAGTATGTACATAAACAAATAGACTACCGGTGATGTTTTAGAGGGTGTCAGATATCTGCGTGCGTTTGGGTTGAAAATACAAAGTGGCTACTATAATGGCAAGAAGCAGTATTATCTGTTTATTTTGAAGTGTTTTCCATAAATGATGTAATGTAACATTCAGACGTATGTGATATGCAACACGTAAATGACATACTGACAAAGTTTTCGAGGGCTTCACATCTACGTATTGCCGAGCTACCTAAGCTCCTAACAGCGATATTCCGTTCGCGGAGCTCTCTATACTATCGCTGCCACAAGTCAAAACTCCCCACTGTGATAGGTGGCCCCAACCATGCTTGGAGTTGAACTTGCAATGAAAGACCGTTATGAGGTTAGAGGGCAAATTTCAAGATTCTTGTAATGGCCGAGCCCACACTGGTGGCAGCGATGTTAGCGAGAGTGTAACGAGAGTGTAATTCTGCAAGCCTGCTGTGTAAGTTCAACAAACTTCAATAATTTATTCCGCAGGTATATTCTGGTAGTTCTGCAAATGTTTTACAGAAGTGCCAGGGTACACTTCTGGAACAGTACTGTGATAAAGACGTAACAGTTGTGAGTGAGTGAGTGAATATGGTTTTATGCCGCTTTTAGCAATATTCCAGCAATATCACAGCGGGGGACACCAGAAATGGTCTTCACACATTGTACCCATGTCTGGAATCGAACCCGGGTCTTCGGCATGACGAACAACGCTTTAACCACTAAGCTACCCAACCACCCCCGTAACAGTGGTGTGCAGTAGTGCAGGTATGGAGCCTAGTTTAAGAAGTGTATACCTGCATGTTACTGAACCTGTCATCATCGTACGGTTGACACAGATGTAAACAATACAGGTGCAAAGTATACAGACTACCGTATTCAACGTAATAAGCACCCAGGGCGCTCTCAAAATTAGAAATAGGAGGCTCTTATTAGAATATTATTTTGGTGAAAAAAACAGAGTTGAAAGATAAATTTTGTGGTTTATGCTGACAGCCTGAAATGTTTATGTACAACAGATATATTTTCCCCCATAATTCCCCATAATTAACAGTGCATATAACACACGAGTGTGTATTATATGCGAATAAATAAGTCTTGTGTACATTGATCAATCGGAAGGGGTGCTAATTGGGATTGTTCACTTGCCAATATATTAGCAAATATCGCTTATTAGAGCAGGGCGCTTATTACGTCGAATACGGTGAGTTGTTTCTTGTTTGTTGGTGTCTCATTTCAGTCTAGTTATATCACTGCTGTTAGGACTTGAAAGTACCATCACAGCAGGAGCTTAGCCAGAGATGTTTGTTTGGTTGTTGTTCAACGCCACACTCAGCAATATTTCAGCTATATGACGTGGATCTGTAAATAATCAAGTCTGGACCAGACAATCCAGTGATTGGCATCATGAGCATCAATCTACTATTTTGGATTCCTTGACATACATCAACTAAGTCAGTGAGCCTGACCACCAGATCATGTTCTTCGCCTCTTACGACAAACATAGTCACCTCTTACGGCAAGCATGGTTTGCTGAAGACCTATTCTCTTCCCGGATCTTTACAGGTCTTAACCAGAGATGACCTACCCAGTAGTTGTTGAGCTGTCTGATAAAAACATCACTGATCCTCTCTAGTTATTGTCAGTTCTCATTCACATTATGAGTAATCATGTGAGAATAACTATAGTGCTTAAATTCACAAACCAAGCCTTGAATTCAATAATTTAAACAAGTGTTTAAACTGTTTTCTTAAGGAAAGGGCTTCAGCCAAAAGAATTCCTTTTCCAGAAATCTCCATGAGAAGAAAATTGCTGACAAGGCAGAAGTAGCAGCTATTTTAATTTGTATTGATTTTTGTCCTTCATGAAAGACTGGTTGTAGACGGTTGTTGCGTGTTCTGAGGGTAGCAACCACATCTCCACATGTGGGACTCAACTTGCATTTCAAATAACCCTTTCTTGAGGTTGTATAAGTCTCTGCTCTCAGCATCACAAGTCTGAGTAGGCTTTGTTATTCTCCACAACCATTCTCAGAGCCATGGGTTGTAGGTGTATTAGTCGACACTCCTCACCTCTTTGCTTAAAGTGTGGGTGCATAATACACCGACACATGTTGCCTCGCCCAGGTATTTTCTTAAATTGATTTCTTAACATTTTTCCCACCTGGGATATGAATTCCGAACCATCTGTTTGTCAAGCTGTTAGAGTCAGTGGAGGAGAATGAGAGTGTGAGTGAATTGGGCTTAACGCCGCTTTGAACAGTAATTCAGTTATACCACGGCATGTCAACCTGATTTGGGAGGAAAGCCCAAAGTGATGCATGTCTTAGAATGTTTATGACTTTGGTGAAACCCACAAGCATGGATATGGTACTGACAAACTTAGAAACCTAATCAGTGTGAACCGGGATTCAAACCCTTGAATCCTGGCGTGCTCAGGGGACACAACTCTGCACAACAAATTGCGGAAGATTAGACGACTGGATCACCCATGCCGTCTCTCAGTGGAAGAAGCAGTGGGAGACTATTTTTGTTTCAAGGAAATTGTGAATATTTCCATGTCAGTTACTTTCCTTTGCTGTGATACGTCATGTAACATTACATGGAAAGGGTAGATACGTGTGTACCCAAGATGGGTGTAAGTATAAGCCAATACACTTACAGTTTTGGATGTGAAATCTCCTTGGCTAATGCCTTGTAGCTCCCACATCTATCATGCAGGTGTTCTGCATGATGCAGCAAGGAGAGTATGAATATAAAACTTACTTACTGCCTCAGATTGCTCTCCGTCATCTGGGTTGACTAGTCACAAGGACATCGAAAGTGGGCTTGGGCGTCCCAGTCGTCAAAAGCATTGCATTCTTTAGAGAGAGATGAATGTCTTAGGCATGTCAGAAACATGAAAGTTGTGGGTTCGAATCCCATATTCACCCTGATTGTTTTTAAGTTTGTCAGAACCATGCCCATTACAGTTGGGTTTCATCAAAGTTATGAGTAACCATCTAAGACCTGCATCACTTCCGGAATTCTTCCCACATCAAGCTGAAACACGGTGGAAAAACAGATTTTAGCCAATTCAACAAACTGTGCACACTAGTTTTTACACGTATACCTTCATTAGTCAAGAAGATATTAAAGTCAATTCTTATATATAAATAAGTTAAATAAGTTAATAATATTTTCACTGGCTGAGTATTAAATCATCATATTAAACACACAAAACTGTGGACAATATGAAATCAGTGACATCATTCAGTCCATGGTTCATGTGATCTTGATAAAATTCTATATATCCCGCCTGGGAGGGAAGTGAATTTCTGAATGGGAGAATAAATCCCTTATACCCTGTTTCACAGCAAATTTAAAAGCTACACACTTTTTGTGAGTCAGTGAAAGTCACGTGACATAGCACAAGTTAACCTCTGCTCTATCAAACAGCTGTTTTCTGTCAATTTTCAATTTGTTTTATTTCTTACAGTGGCAGATTAAAACATGTCAGTTGGATAAATTCATTGTAGCAGTATCACTCGGGGGACATGTGTTTTTATGCACCCCTGGTTAGATCATATAGCACAAGGACCGTGGTGTAAAACCTAATGTGGGATGCATATTGTTCTAGTTAGCTCAGCCAATACCAGCCCAAGTGGACTTGAAAGTTGGCACTGAATGTATATGGCTTTTGACAATGTGATTGACTAATAGGACATGTCATTTCTAATTGCAGCCTCAGAATATTCTCTTTACAAGACCATACCCTGAAGGGGACATCAAGATATGTGATCTCGGCTTCGCCTGTCTCGTCAATACTGGAGAAGACATCCGGGACATCATCGGGACACCGGATTATGTTGGTAAGATGGTGGTCTGTACTGGGGGTTCTCACAGCCTTATACAGTGCTTGAAGTTACAAGGCTTCATTGTTCACTGCTTATTTAAATGCTTGAAGTTACAAGGCTTCACAGGTCACTGATAATTTAAGTGCTTGAACTTACAAAGCTTCAGTATTCACTAAATATTTGAGTGTTTGAACTTGCAAGGCTTCAAAGCTCACTGATATTTAAGTGCTTGAACTTACAAAACTTCAGTATTCACTGATTATTTGAGTTATTGAACTTGCAAGGCTTCAGTGTTCACTGATTATTTGAATCCTTGAAATTACAAGGCTTGAGTTAGTGCACCTTATTGTGGTATATGGTAGGTTAGGCCATGAACAGTTACAGAAATATTTCAAGGTAATAATGGGGGTGGGGGAGTAGCCTAATGGTTAAAACCTTCATTCATGACAGCGATAACCCAGGTTCGATTCACACATGGGTCCAATCCATTTTCTTGTGTCCTTCTGCGAAAAGCGATGTAAAACCATGTACTCTCTTAATTCTCATCAGTGTGGTTAAGTGTTTCAATCTCTTCAAAATCTAAGGACAGAAAGGAGATGAAAAATCCTTTTCTCATCAGAAGCCTATTTCCATAATGCGGGGGTCACCAGGCTCTCCTGACAAGGCAAGAACCTTTTCAACCCTGGTGGCATCGTTAAGGCAAAAAAAAAGAGAAGACAACTCTTCCATGTAAATTCTTAGAACCTATGTCAAAAAAAGACTTTTCAGCGATCAAAATTCATTGCTTGCCTGTTTTAAGTTACCTGGGCGAAGATGTGAAAGCCTTTAAGTGCTTGAATTGTGTTGTAACAGCACATCCAAGTGAAATGGCCTAGCTGATTGTGTGCCATTCCTGGACAGTGTTGATTGTTGCTCATGATATCAACCATTGGTTGGCCACTCACTCACTCATTCACTCCATTCTGTTGTTTCAGCTCCGGAGGTTCTGGACTATGAACCACTCAACACAATGACAGACATGTGGTAAGACTATGACAAATACACAACATGCACCAACCATTTGCACATGCAGTTTGTTGGTGTATTCATACCTTTGCACTAAACTGTTCATAGCACAACAGCAGGGAGATTTATGTAAGGTCTAAAAATATGAAATGAGTTAATTCCCTTCTGATATTCATCAGATAAGATTCAGCGAAGAGGTGTTTACAATAAATAAAATTGTCTGCCTGCCATCAGGACCCACAAACTTTTGAACCTGCAGGTCCTGACTAAACTCTTCAGCCCCTCATTTATAAAACTGCAGCTTATGCTGACAAATAAATCCACACGTAAATATGCTGCAGGTCATAAAGACAAATACAAATTTGAAACTATGGCCCTGACACAAGATCTACCTGCCACGGGCCTACAGGCAGGCGCTTATTTCTAACACTGCAGGGAATAGGGGTTTTTTTAAATTAGGAATCTGTCCAGACTACTTTTGAGCAGGATGATATAGATTCATGCAGGTGACTGGATTGATTTAAGAAACAGCTAGAATTTGTCAAGCAACACTCACTCACGTCAAAAGAACACATTAATGGCCCCGTTATCTGCTTGTGTGTTGCAGGAGTATGGGTGTTCTGGCTTACGTCATGTTGACGGCGTGTGCTCCGTTTGCCGGGGAGAACAACCAGGAGACCTTCTGCAACATCTCCCAGGTGAAACTGGACTTCCCGGCCGAGCTGTTCGGGGAGATCAGCGACCTCGCCCAGGACTTCATCTCCTGTCTGCTGGTCAAGAACCCAAGGTGAGGGGGCTATAGAACCACTGGTTGTACAACCTTGTAGGGATTCCAGGTTAGAATAGGTCTCCAGTAACCTATGGGGGTCAAGAAACCAAGGTGAGGGGGGGTGGTAGAACCACTGGTTGAAGAACCTCATAGGGATTCCAGGTTAGAATAGGTCTCCAGTAACCTATGGGGGTCAAGAACCGTAGGGGAAGGGGATGATAGAACCACTGGTTGAAGAACCTTGTAGGGATTTCCAGGTTAGAATAGGTCTCCAGTAACCTATGGGGGTCAAGAACCCAAGGTGAAGGGGATGATAGAACTACTGGTTGTACAACCTTGTAGGGATTTCCAGGTTAGAATAGGTCTCCAGTAACCTATGGGGGTCAAGGACCCAAGGTGAGGGACAAAAGGACCAGAAGTTGAACACTTGTACCAGATGTACACGGGAGCTGGAAATTACCATTACTTGACATCCTCTTATAACAGGGAGAGATCCTGGACTTGTTCAAACAGAAGTTTTGGGTTTTCTGTCCAATTTTTGACTGGTTTCCACAAAGTCAAAAAGTACAGAACTATTATTCCCAAACTCAACTAACATTTTCATAATATTCTCTATTTGGGGGCATGGGTGGCCCAGTAATCGATGTTTGCAGATTTAGCTGTGTAGAGTTGTCTCCCTTAGGCCAACGAGAATCCTATGATTGTGGGTTGGAATTAAAGATTCATACTGATTATGATTCTCAGCTTTCGTTTGTCAGCACTATTCTCATGCTCGGGGAAGTCACTGACGAGGCCAATATCTACAAATTGCATCCCTTTGGGCATTCTTCTCCTCTTGAAAAGACACTGTGATGTTACTATACAGAAATGCTGTGATAACACATATTTGATTTTTGGTAAAATGGCCACAAAATCAAATTAAGCTGTTCTGGGTATTTAGGCATGAGATAATAACACACAATGTCATCATGCAGGATTGAATCTCTTTTTATGTGTTTAGAGATGGACTTGAGAGCAATATACACATCTTTTCTGATTTCGAGTTTAAGTTGATGATGCGTTTTCATTGTGTTTTAGTATCCTTGTGTTAAGAATTTTAGAGCTCCAAAGAAGTATTTCTGATTACGTGTCTAATAACAATGCCATTATGCTAACATTAAGTCTTACCTTTGAGAACATTTATTTCTGTAAACACTTGGATGGTCAAATGACCATGTCTTGTTAATTCTATAGTGATAATGCCTCGTTGAGCATTGAGTCGATCAGGCGCCATCTTTCAAGCCCATCTGTTAGAATCAAGTTACAAATAGGTGCACAACATGATCGGCCATATGACTTTAGAGACAGGAAGTTTACAAACAGCAGCTGATACATCATCAGTGCATATCATTGTTCTGATGAAAAATTATCATCAGATCAAGTTTGATTAAAATGTACATTGTGAAAAAGTCAGTTTTGAGGTATGTTTTCATTGCTAATGAATAATTTACTTCATGTAGCTTAGTTCCCATATGAATTCAGCAGCAAATGGCGAACACTTTGATGCCTTTGGAACGTCTATATTTAGATTCGTCATGAAGTGCATGGTCACTTATTGTTAAGGGGCTCGACGTTGGGAAATATATTATAAGGTGGTGTCTATCCAGCCCCTCAATCATGATGCACTCATATTTGGTCAAGGTGAAATTGTGTACATGATGGTATTGTTAGAATGAAATGACATGTAACAGTAGCACAGAGCTCCAGATAAGCTTTTGGTGTTGTGGGTATTTTACCCATGCATTTTAAAATCATTGGGTATCAGTAATTCTATCTGGGTATTCAAATTTCTGTTACCCACTAGTTTTTACACGTGGGTATTTAAGTTAAATATTTAAAACCACTATACATCTAGTCCCTGCAAACTGGTGTTGTGTGGGTTCGAGAGCTTTATACTAAAAAATACCACGATATTTCCACAAGAAAGTGTGATGGCAAATGATCAGTTTGGTAACTGTCATCCTGGAGTTTGGCAAGGTTGACGGAATGCCCGTTTATAATTTCAAAATAAGTTGCTGATTTGCTAATCGAATACGCAGGGTTACTTCACAATATTTTGATGATACGCACAAGTTTTATTTTTGTAGCGTATCTGTAATGTTCGTTGCGTATGTGATACGCTTTGATTTTATTTTACTGCGTATTTCTGCATTTCTGATGCGTATTTTACGCAGATACGCAGCTTATCTGGAGCTCTAGGAGCATCATGTTTATAATATTGTACTGATTATTGACCAAACATGTAACTGAAGACAATGTTGATGCAGTAACTCTGGTATTAGGACATTTTGACCACATAATGAAACCACTTTCCCTTTTCAGAAAACGATTGACAGCTCGTCAGTGTCTAGACCACCCATGGCTCAAAACCTCTGTGGATAACACTGTGGTGCCGTTACTGCCGTCCCCGTCGGATGCAGCTTTTGGCCTGTCTCAGGACCTCGGATCTACAGTCAACTACCACTCCAAGTCTCGGGAAAACCAGGAAAACTTCATAAACGGCAAACAGTTGAAAGCCGCGTCAACCAGCATGTTGATGGAACTGAAAGAAAAAGATGCTAATTCTTGCCTTAACCATCAGAAGAGTTCCATGTCTAGTGTCGACAAAAGGCGGTCTATGGAAATACCATTGAAAAAATTACGTAGTGACGATAACGGTGAGCAGCCACACAACGTCATGTGTGAAATATCGGCCAAGGCTGTCAAAGACAGTGTGAATATGTTCGAGAGCACAAGAACTTACAATGTTCAAAAGGAAGTGGATTTAGTATGTAGTGAGAACCAGAGAACGGACATGACGTCAAGAAGCACTGACAAGGAAATAGACAGTAATATATTGCAAGTGTCACCGGTGGAGCAAGATATATGCATCAAGTCGAGCCCGGATTAATGCTAGTTTGGTTTAGATAACTTACGTGTGTCATGTAAATGAGAGGTCACATGCCTAATACTCACTTACACAAGGGTGGTGGGTTGATGTCGTACTTGAGGCAGTGCCCCCCACAGATTGATCCTGTTTCACTATTGTAGATATGTAGAAAAAAGCCTGTGTATATTGCAGAATTGAACATTGGATTGGAAAACCGGAAAACTGTTAAACACATATCGTTGTAGCATTGTTATGTGAGTAAAGTTTCACAAAAGCTCACGAACAAAATCATGATCTGAAGGTGAAAAACAAATTTAAGTGACCATTGTGATTGTGACAAATTAATGATTCAATGAGATTCATTTTTTAATTTGGGATGGTCTCTAAGTAGCGAAGTAAAATTATGATTGCTAAAATATTTTGTGCTTACCGTATTCGACGTAATAAGCGCCCAGGGCGCTCTCAAAATTAGAAATAGGGGGCTCTTATTGGAATATAACTTTGGTGAAAGAGTTGAAAGATGGTAAATTTTGTGGTTTATGCTGACAACCTGAAAAGAAAAGTCTGTGCATATTATACACGACAGATATATTTTTCCAGAATTTAATTGCCCATAATTAAGGGTGCATATAACACACTATTAATCGGAAGGGTGCTAATTGGGATCGTTCACTAACCAATATATTAGCAGATATCGCCGTGGGCGCTTATTACGTCGAATACGGTAATCTAAATATATTGATCCATCTCTGATTAATGCCGTGTATGTAGTGTGACACAAGTTTAAGTATACAAACAACACATTAGATTAATACATGTATAAATGAATGGAAGACAAAAAGGCCCAGATACCCTACTATTGCAAAGCTATAGGGAAACATGTACTTATCTTTTAAACTTATTAACACCTCATAGGACAATGAAGTGTTATGGTCTGATGGGTCATTTAACCGCCTGCCTCGACTAAAAATGTACCATATTCGCCTTGTTAGGCACCCTGCTGCAATAACCGTCCTAGCCAAATTCTAGACCAGTCTGTAAGTTCTAGCCTTATTAGACCAATAGGGCCATCCATAGTTCCTGTCATATATTGCACTCTTTTAACAGAAAACATCTGCACAGAACTTTTTTATCTGAGTTTGTTCACTACCACCATCTCTGAATACAAATTCAACTCGACATGCATGGTTTTAATAAGTGCCCCTTTTGTCCTTTATCTAAGTACCCAGGGCACTCATTACGGCGAATATGGTATGTCTTGGTGGTCACGACAAACTTAGTAATGATCCTGAATGGTATATTTTATGTAATGTGAAGTATCCAAGGTTTGAGTGTGTGTTATTCTGACCATTAACCTTTTTGTGTTGGAATGGGGGCATTGTTTTCATTATTTTCCTCTCCTTTAAAAACAACTAACTTTGAATGTAGTTTAGGACAGATATGTATTCTGTCAAATAATTGATCATTTGTAAAGAGACAAAAACGTTGTTTTGAAATATTTGCCATAAAATGGGTGAATTTCATTGTATCAATGGTATTCAGAAGGTAACCTACCGTCAAGCTCCTTGAAGCACTTGTAAAATATGTTTTGACAATTTGTCTGGATAAATTTATTGACTTCAGCTGAATTGTAGATGTAACAACGAACAAATCTCTACACATAGGACGTCCTTGTGTTACTTTTAAATAGTATTTATGTTAACAGAATCTGTAATCATTTAGTATTTTCCCGATATTATTTTTTTGAAATTTGCAATCCGAGAAGTCTTTTAAGTGTTCATCATCGTGATCATTTCATTTGTGACTTGTCATTGACTTGCCATGTCTATTTGTGGAGTTTTTGTCCGATTACCTCAGCCCTTATTCCCTCAGTACCTCAAACATGGAGAAATCACAGAAACTCCACTGCAGTCGTCTTCATTCATCAGTCCACAAGGGGGGGAAAACATCTGTTACTTTTAGGCCGGGAAAAGATTTTTAATAGTTTTCTCTTCAATATGCCATGTTTTACAAAAATATCGGCTCAAATTTTGGTTTGGTCTGGTAAAAAATCCAATTTTGAAGGATGTCAGTATTGTCCGGATTTTAACAGCATGAGAGTTATCTCTCTTTGAAACTATGCCCTTTAGTAATAAGCTTTCTACCTTTTCAGAAACCACACAGAAAATAGGATTGTGACCCATCCGATGAAATCTTATTTGTATTTTCTCAGCCTTATGATAATTGAGTTTCTAGGATGAGAATCTTCATTATGCATCAGATTAATATGGACCAAGCCCAGAAGATATGAGTTGTCAATATAAGCTGTGAGGACAGGAAGTACATATATTAGAGTTATTCATACTGTTCATTTCAACTTCTTGAAAGCCAGTCAAAGTAGACACGGTCAATCGGAGACATTTAGGTATTGGTGTAGTGGCCATGTGGTTGGAGTGTTAGCCTATCAAGTCACAGACTCAGGTTTGATTCCACACATGGTAGCAGTATGTGGACCCCCTTCTTGGTGCCTTTGTAGCAATACTGGGGTGAAATAAACATTGCTCACACTTGGGTTGTTACGATGTCACGGTACGACACTTTATCATGATATGATTGGACACTTGTCCCGTGAAGACGACACAGAGTTCCAGATAATTTTGCCATCCATTGAGTATTTTACTCACAAGTTACACATTGAGTAATGAAAGTTTTTTGGGTATTCAATATACTTTAATCACCTGGGTCCCTGTCTATTGGGTCTAAAGTGTTGCAAATTGCTGTGCAGAATTATGTCCCTTAGGTGCATCACAAGCCAATCATTGTTGGTGTGAATCCCGGTTTGCCCTGAGTACTGTAAATCTTGAAATTAACGCGAGCGTGAATTAAATGCGAGTGGTCCCTGCTTGCATTATTAAACATCGCATTTATATCAACAATAAGACATTTTTTAAAGCAGAAATACCAACTTAGACATACGCTGAAAACAAACAACTATGTACTCCACATCACTGTTTATTGAGCAGAACTTGTAACAAGTATATAAACAATGTCATTCAAACACTAATTACATCCTGTGAATGTCACTGCTTGGGTCAAGACAAGAGTTCTACTCACTTATGTCATCATTGATCACACCTGCAAGTCCAGACAGACGCCACCCACACAACACGGTGTCTTTGTTCTTTGTGACTGCATCAAAGGTCACCACGAGCCAGCGCGCATGTGTTGTTTTAGTGGAAGTACTCTACTCAGCGCTAATAAGCAGTGCTATTCGGTGTGTACGTGGTGTGTGATTGGTTTAAGGTGAGGATTCTCCTGTAAACCTGACAGAGGGCGTTTTCTTTAGATGCTCGAGAGGAGGTGGGTGTCGCAATCATTTGAGTCGCATTTTTGGTTCGGGACCAGCGTTCACATTCTCTTGGAGAAGCATTAATTTCACGATTTACAGTATGTTCCTAGGTTTGTCAGATCCATGACCGTGCATGTGGGTTCAGCCAAAGTGGTAAATGTTTAAGACCTGCATCACTTTGGAATTTCCTCCCACATCAAGGTGACACACCGTGATATAACTGGAATACTGTCCAAAAGCATACTACATAAGCAAGACTACATGACTACACTCGCCTGTACAGTATTGTTGACCTCAGGATAGAACTATGAAATAGTGACAGAAAGCATCAGCCCGGTGAATCGTTACTCCCCAAGCCCTCACCCCCTATTGGATGGCCCCTGGATTTATGAGATATTTTGTCAAGAATTAAATATGATCAAAAGGAAGAGAATATATGGATGTCAACTTCTTTATTTCCGAGTCAATGAAAGTCACGTGACACAGCACAAGTTAACCTCAGCTCAATCAAACCGCTATTTTCTATCAATTTTCATTTTTTTTTAATTCTTTACAATGGCAGATTGAAACGTGTCGGTTAGAAACACTTGTTGTAGCAGTATCAAAAGGGGTACATGTGGTTTGTGTCCCCTCTTAGGTTTTAGCCCACTCGCGGAACACATAAAACCGCATGTACCGCAAGTGATACTGCCACAAGTTAGAATGTATCTTTCTAGATGTGTCGGTTAGATACACTTGTTGTAGCAGTATCACCAGGGGTACATGTGGTTTGTGTGTCCCTTCTTAGGTTTTATCCCTCTCGCGGAACACATAAAACCACATGTACCGCGAGTGATACTGCCACAAGTTAGAATGTATCTTGCTCCTCATAATAAAGATATAATACATTATGTGTGTCACTTCTAAATGCCATTCAAAGACTTAAATATGATCATACATTATTTTCACAAAACATATCTCCGTCAAGAGACCACTTTCATTGACCATTTGAGGATAGGACCAAAATAAGCCGCCATTGAATTCTTCATGACCATATATACACATGCTTCTGGCTGTTCTCATGTCTATGCTGAATATTTGAATAGGCTTGAAATCTGTGAAACGATGTTCATGATCGATTCCTCGGACTGGTAATCTTTTACCAATCTTGTCCTGAGCTTTTTTAAAATGTGTATAGATTTGTTTCAACCTATCATTCTTATAATATTTAATTCTAACCATGATGGTTTGAGAGAAAAATTATGAGAAATGAATTAATTTAATAATGTATTTATTTGTTGCAACAGAAAGTCACTATTCTGTGCACATACAAAAACTTAGTTTGGTATATGCAGGAATCAGGTTAGATTTGATAGCAGCAAAAGGAAAAGCATGTCGAAGTTGTTTTGCTAGTACAGTCACCATTCCAAACAATTTACATAATGATCTCCAAATTTATATTTCACTTACATAAACATCAGTTTTCATTTTGTTTTAAATCATAGAATATATCATTTCTAAGCATCAAGAGTTGACCACTCACTCCTTCATCTTACTACCCTGTTGCGGTCGCAACCCCTCGCTCTGTTAGAACCCAAGGATGCAATTCTTGTTTAGAAGTTTTTGAAAAAGTAGATCCAATAATAATCTTGTTAAGAAACTACTTGGTCTTAGTGATTTGGCCGTTACAATGAGCTGTTTAATGATAAAATTGGGTCACTGAATTATGACACTTTTTGTGTATTTCTTGCTTGGAATGCAATGCTGCAACTGCTCCCTTTATGATGGTGTGATTGGGTGACCGATGAATCAGCATTAATATGGTCCCACAAAGCAAGGTTTACGTTAAGGTTTAAGACTAACACATAAAAATCTTTCATGATTTTATATGTTGGCATTAAGGCTTTGTCAATACTCAGTTTATTTGAAGGAAAATACATTCTACTTTCTGAGGGGATATAAGTACTAAGCATTCCGATTAATGTGCGTTTTTTGCACGACCCAATTTAAAAATCATCAATTTCATACTCTGTTATTATTTATGTTAGATATTACTGAATCGGACTACTGTCCATCAATTTCTCAAATGTTGTAATGCCTTGGTTATTAATAATAATCTGACCTTGCATGACTTAGCTTCCGGGTTACAAAGTACAATTAGTTTCTAATTATGCAACATTAGCTTCATGTTTGTTTACTTTGTTGTGAGGATTGAATCATTATGCAGTCAAGCGAAAGTTTTTTTTAGTGATGGACCCTTTATCATGCAAGTTGCTTGTAAATAACGCCCTTTTTGCGGGTTAAAGTTGCTTCTAATCTTTATGCAAAACAAAAAACTAAGTTCCATTTTCAGTAATGTGTTATTCAAGCAATATGTTTACTGTATAAATTATCTACAACTGTTAATGCCTTATTATTTTTTCACGGATGAAGTCGTTAGATTTAAATCTTGTTGAGTGTCTCATGTGCTTGGAAAAGGTTTCATGATCAAATTAATTTACTTAATTTGTTCAACAGTATTTGTTTGATTATTTTTCTTGCAATAACAAATAATAATTTATTGTCTATATCTTTTTTTAATGGCTTAAAATTGAACAAGTTGTTGAGAAATTATTCTTTTGATAATTTTCTTTTTCTTCACGCCAAGTCAAATAATTTCAGTAATGAAAAAATTAAGAAATTTTTCAGATGTATAACCGTTCTTTTGAGAAGTAGCTTTTAAATATATAATTTTTGTATTTTGTGAACTAATCCAATTATCAGAAAACTCCAACACGTGAGACAGCCCAAGGTCATGTTAACATTAGATTGTTGTTAATCAGGTTAATATTTCTACATTGTTTAGTTGTTGCATGAAAATAATATATTTGAATTGTTGATGCTGTTTCTATTACAACTGGTTCCATCCTTTCCACAAACATTGCACAATTTTATCTGGGAGAGATGAACAGGGGAAGTTATGATAATAACCTCACTGAATAGTCTAAGAAAGTAAAGAAAGTTTTTGTTATCTTTTAGGCCAGGAATTTGATCATGCAGTTGAGGTCATAGGTCAAACGTTCAGTAGTCCACTTGAACAAGGCGATGATAATGTTCCTTGTGATACAGTGTTGTGTTGAGGATGTAAGCAAAGCGTGACCTCTAAATTGTGTTGTACATGTGGGTCAACTTAAGGTCAAGGTCACTACAGTTTGTTCCTGTAAACCATGGCTCTGATACTAGACCATTTTACTGGCCCTTTTTTTCAGCGTTATGATCTCAACCCAAGTTCATTCTCTCCCTAATTTATTCAGTCAAGTGCCTTCGCCTTGACCATATTTGGTGAGGTGTTTTGAGCAGTTTAAGCACTTTTTATCACCAAGATGACAGGTATTCAATGGCAAATGGTTGCCTCGTTACAGGGAACCAATATTGAACATATCAAATATGTTGTTGCATATGTGTATGTTGTAAAATCCATTCACCAGTGTGTTGCTCCTTGCATGTGTTATCATTGACAGACAAAATATTGTTGCTGCAAAATCGTAGGCTATTATTCCAGGTATTCCTTTAACCAGCTTTTTACATGGTAAATAAAAGATAGGTAAAACTGGTTTTTATTCTCTATCCAAGAGACCCAAGCACTGTCACCTTGGTTACAGCTGAAACAGTTGTATCCTGCAAAATATTTCTCCTTTATTCCCATGTGTATGTGTTGTCATGACGATATTGTGCACAGTTGACTTCATTAGTTTACTTTGTACAGTGTAGGATTTTACATTTTGACTTTTAATGAAATAGTGTTTCATATAGGACACAAATTACAGCATGTAATGTGTTTTTTTAATTTAAGGAAAGATGTTTCCAATCTGTAAATTCTGAAACATTTATTTATCATATTATTAGCTAGAAATTATATGTGATTCTGGACTATATAAGCTGCAAAGTGTGAGTGTTCATCTTGATATGTTATAGGTGCTGAGTTGTCAGTTTCAAAAATCTGGGTTTCTTTCAGTAATTCTTCTGCATTCAATGACTAAATACTCATTCGTATTTTAAAGCATTATGATTCAAAATCTTTTAACAATAATTTTTTTGCGAATCTTACGTGATTCAAGCATTACAAGAATCAAATCTTCAGGAGGAGGAAATAACTCCATGACATACATTGAGATTATTTTGTCCATAGAGCTTGATTAGCGGATAAAATAATTCTGAATGAATCCAACCCAGATTGTATGTTTTATTTTTAGAGTATTATGTCTCCAGCATTACCATTGTATTCATACAGCAAGCATTTGTCAGCTTCCTTTTGTTCCGTGGCTATAGAATTGTGTTTATGACTGAAAACCTTATGCTTTGTAAAGGGAATCTAGCTCAACCAGCATTAGCACAATCAAAGTAAGTGTGTGTTACCTGCCTCGTTACCTGTCTCGTTACCTGCCTTTGATAATTTGTAAGATGGCAGTAATTTGCTTGAAGACAAATTTGCAATAATTTCTGTAAAATTGGAACTTATGTTGAAACTTTAACTTCATTAAATGTTAAAGTTTGTCTACCCAGTTGAAGTCAGTCTGAAAGGTTCTGGCTGTCATGGTACCACTGGTGTCAAGTCATTACAATCTGGTGTGCCAGGATAAGTGCGTATTATTGTCATGTCTTGATATAAAATGATACTCTAACACCACATAAGAGAATTTGTTGTTACCCAATCCTAAGGGTTCTAAGAAACAATTGCATGCTAAATTCATTTCAGGTCGCACATTTTAAGATATTTACCATTCCAAAACTAAGTACAGTAGGACATATTGTCTTGGTTTATTTCATACCTGACAACCTTACTATGATGACTTAGCACCACAGTAACAGGAATGGGTGTGTTCCTTTAGGCATGCCAGAGACCTAAACCTACGATACGGGTTCGAATCCCAGATTTACCCTGCTTTTGATCCCTAGTTCGTCAGCATGACACCGGGATCAGGAGTTTCACCAAAGTGATAACCATGTGAGGCCTGCATCACTTCAGGCTCTATTCCCACATTAAGCTGACACACCATGATATAACTGGAATACGGAACAAACATTGTTTAACCTGACTCCCTAACTCAGTCAATATCACAACCTTGCTCCAAGGCTGTACTAAGGCAAAACCCTTGTTATTCCAGTTACTGTAAGTCTAGATAACATAACAGTTTGTCTGTCACGTATAGGAACAAAATTAGCTGGTGATATTTAAAAAACCCAGCTGATCACAAAGTGCAAGTAACTCCAAGGCTTTTGTTTCCAGTTATTGAGCTAGTTTCTCTTGTCTCTGTTGTATGTAGATAATTATGGACACATCTCAAGGCGTAAACTCTTTCCGTGTCATGATGTTTCTGGCAAAAACAGAACTGATGGGATGTCCTCAGTAATCTAATGAAGCCATAAAATTTGACATTTTGTTGAGCAATATCCTTCACACACAATTTTGTCATATTTAACATGGATTAAAACAATTGTCATTTTTATTTTCCTTCAAGAGGCCTGGAGATAATGATGGCCCATGTTTGCCCACTTGAACTGCCACATTTATGAAATGATGGAAATCTTTTTAAAGAGTCAGGCATGTGACCATACATGTTCATTTGACTGAGATAACTAACTTTTTGTCATTTCAACTCTTACAAGAGATATAGGTACAAAGAAATTTGGTGGGAAATTTCTGCGTGTATTATGGACTTGCTCATTGTTACATCTGCTCCAGATGTTAAAAAGATGCCTTTTTCTTTCTTTCATCGATGCTCGATGTCCAAAACTGGTCATGAATGTGTGAATTTCTTTTTATTGACAAATTGATGCTTCTTTAAAGTGTGTGAAGGTTTTGGTAAACCAAAAATTTATGCTTCTAGAAAAATAAATCTATTAGTTCTGTATTTGCTACCATCAGATCGTGCTTAAAAGACATGGGTTCAGTTCCAAGAAGCGGTCTCAGAGCTATGACAATCTTAACTCTCATTTTTAACGTGGACTTTAATTACCACTATCTTAGCACTAACATTGCTTTCTGGAACTGGCCCATTTCCCAGACTCTTTGTTGGTCTACAGACTGTCTGGCAAGAAATGGCTGACTTTGTTGAAAGTATTAGACAACAGTATTCTCAAACGAAAAGCTCAAATTTCTGTTTCAAGACAAATCAGCTGAATCGTTGAATTGAAAATGGCAGTTTTATATGCCAGCATAGCCTAGAACTGATTGTCTTAGAAATTCAAGCTTTTCAGACTCTAAGAGAGACTTGAAATTTCAATGTTATGTTTGATGTATTTTGTGTATAGAATTTTGTGAATATCACAGTAACATTTTCTTCAAGTGTTCAAATCTAAGAGTCACCTGCCCAAGTATACTGATTGTGACTGAAAACATTTTCTTGGAGACTTTTTAAAATGTTTTTCTACATCCTCCATGTCTTGGTTGTAATGAAGTTTCAATTTTATAAATTGGAATAACCTTACTTACTGAACATGGTAAAGGTTTAGGAAAATACACGAGGGTATTTTGAGAATATGTTAAGACCTACCATACAGTCATCCAGTGTTGTACGTCTGAGACCTGCTTTACTTCCTTCCACATTAAGCCAGGATATAACTGGAATACTGTTAATAGTGGCATTGAGACCCATTTCAGTCAGTCAGTCACTCACTCACTCCAAGGTTTTAATGTCCAACTGTAAGCACTTCACTGTTGTTTGTAAATTATGCCATTCGACAGGTTTTTTGATGATGTTGCTTCCAATATGGTGTCATGCCGCAATCCACCATTGCAAGCTGTATGGGAGGTGCCCCAGCAGTATTGTCTGTGTTTCCACCAGTGTGGCCCGAGTGAGCTGTGTGGGAGGTCCTGGGGTATCCACCAGTGCGGCCCGAGTGAGCTGTGTGGGAGGTGCCCCAGCAGTATTGTCTGTGTTTCCACCAGTGTGGCCTAAGTGAGCTGTGTGGGAGGTGCCCCAGCAGTATTGTCTGTGTTTCCACCAGTGTGGCCCGAGTGAGCTGTGTGGGAGGTGCCCCAGCAGTATTGTCTGTGTTTCCACCAGTGTGACCTGAGTGAGCTGTGTGGGAGGTGACCCAGCAGTATTGTCTGTGTTTCCACCAGTGTGACCTGAGTGAGCTGTGTGGGAGGTGCCCCAGCAGTATTGTCTGTGTTTCCACCAGTGTGACCTGAGTGAGCTGTGTGGGAGGTGCCCCAGCAGTATTGTCTGTGTTTCCACCAGTGTGACCTGAGTGAGCTGTGTGGGAGGTGCCCCAGCAGTATTGTCTGTGTTTCCACCAGTGTGACCTGAGTGAGCTGTATGGGAGGTGCCCCAGCAGTATTGTCTGTGTTTCCACCAGTGTGGCCTGAGTGAGCTGTGTGGGAGGTGCCCCAGCAGTATTGTCTGTGTTTCCACCAGTGTGGCCCGAGTGAGCTGTGTGGGAGGTGCCCCAGCAGTATTGTCTATGTTTCCACCAGTGTGGCCTGAGTGAGCTGTATGGGAGGTGCCCCAGCAGTATTGTCTGTGTTTCCACCAGTGTGGCCTGAGTGAGCTGTATGGGAGGTGCCCCAGCAGTATTGTCTGTGTTTCCACCAGTGTGGCCTAAGTGAGCTGTGTGGGAGGTGCCCCAGCAGTATTGTCTGTGTTTCCACCAGTGTGGCCCGAGTGAGCTGTGTGGGAGGTGCCCCAGCAGTATTGGCTGTGTTTCCACCAGTGTGACCTGAGTGAGCTGTATGGGAGGTGACCCAGCAGTATTGTCTGTGTTTCCACCAGTGCGGCCTGAGTGAGCTATATGGGAGGCGCCCCAGCAGTATTGTCTGTGTTTCCACCAGTGCGGCCCGAGTGAGCTGTGTGGGAGGTGCCCCAGCAGTATTGTCTGTGTTTCCACCAGTGTGGCCCGAGTGAGCTGTGTGGGAGGTGCCCCAGCAGTATTGTCTGTGTTTCCACCAGTGTGGCCTGAGTGAGCTGTGTGGGAGGTGCCCCAGCAGTATTGTCTGTGTTTCCACCAGTGTGGCCTGAGTGAGCTGTATGGGAGGTGCCCCAGCAGTATTGTCTGTGTTTCCACCAGTGTGACCTGAGTGAGCTGTATGGGAGGTGCCCCAGCAGTATTGTCTGTGTTTCCACCAGTGTGACCTCAGTGAGTTGTATGGGAGGTGCCCCAGCAGTATTGTCTGTGTTTCCACTAGTGTGAGCTGTGTGGGAGGTCCTGGGGTATCCACCAGTGCATCGAGTGAGCTGTATGAGAGGTGCCCCAGCAGTATTGACTGTGTTTCCACCAGTGTGGCCTGAGTGAGCTGTATGAGAGGTTACCCAGCAGTATTGACTGTGTTTCCACCAGTGTGGCCTGAGTGAGCTGTATGGGAGGTGCCCCAGCAGTATTGTCTGTGGAGAGTGGCCAGTTGGTGGCGTTGTGCAATATGTCCTCGTGTCAGCCTCCTCTGTTCTGTATATATATCCCATGTTGACTGTAGAGCTTGAAGATAACATGTGTCACAACTATATAATAAAGCACTAGAAACTTGAATTGTGTTTATTCTTGTTCCCAAAGTGGTTACCAAAACCCTCACTTTGGGATTTCACTCATCGAGATTCCAGGCTGGAGTTGGTCCCCAACAACCAATGCTGGTCGTAAGAGGAAACCAAATGGATCAGGTCGTCCAGCTCGGTGACTTGGTTAATTGTTTGTTACGTTGGCAATTGTTTGTTACGGTGGCTGTCGGCATGGATCGATGCTCATAATTCCAATCACACAAGGTCAGCGCTGTCCATGTCAAACCGGAAGTTGGTACCCTTTTCTCGCTTGACAGTAAAATATGTAATTTCACCCGAGCACATGAAGCATGATTTAGTCAAGTCCTTTTAATTAATATTTTGAACTAAATCAAACTTACAATTGATGCCTATCGTGATGCCTCATGCTTACTCAAATGACTTTCACATTTTAAATTTCACATAGATGTTATCAATCAGGAAGTCTGGCATTTCACATATTGTTTTCTCAGTAATCTTCATATGACATTCGCTTTCATTTGGACAATTCGTCCTGAATCTCTGACGATAGAGATGTAATACGGTCACTACATTCAGTAACAAATGCCCCAATGGGCCAAGGAATGAAGTTTTCCCTTAATTTGTCGTGTGGGTGAGGTGGGGTGTACAAGTAGAAAAATCAAATGTTTCGAAATAATTGAACTTGGTTCTTTTCTGAGTTCGTAAAAATTCAAGCAAATCCCTTTAATTTTTGAGAATCCAAATGATATTAATTCCACTTTTCTCAGATACTTTGTGTGAACATAAAGAAGGAAGTCCTTCCTTGATTGTTGACCCCCACCTTGGTCTAGTGGGAGAGTGTCCGCACTGAGGGCAGAATGTCGGGGGGTTCGATCCCCGGTCGCACCATACCAAAAGACATTAAAAGAATGTACTAGTTACCCTGCAAAACAAACCCCGAACCTTTGAAGATTTTATCACGTTTTGTGACAAATCAAGGAAATTTGTTTTTCCTTTATTTGACAGGTGCGACAGTGGTGTACAAAATTAAAAAATCAAATGATTTGACATACTTGAACTTATATTGCGATTCCACATGATATAAATTCCACCTGTTTCAAATGCTTTCTGCGAATATTACAAAAGTACTTCCTTGATAGTATTAATGATTGTGGTTAAACTTTGAGACAGGGATTTGGTGATACATTTGCTGCAACCAGCAATATATTTCTCTTTGGAGCTTTGAAAACCAATACAAAGGAGGGATAGAATCACGTCAAAAGTTGATAGCACTGATGCATGGTTTTGGCAGATTTCTTCGTCTCAGTTAACATACTAGTATTATAAGTGGCATTATTGATATGCCACTTGTACCAAGTTCTTTGATCAAACTAATAATGTAGTGATGCTTACATAGACTGAACCGCAAAAGAAACGTCACCCCAAGTAACATTGCATGAAAAGTTGTTATTTAAAAATATCTGGGTTTCTAAAATTTAACATTACCTTGTCCGTAAAAATGAAATTTGATAATAAAAAAACAAAGCAGATGACAATAAAACCGATCGCCCAAACGCATCACGGCAACAGCCATGGTTACCCGATGCATGTGAGTTCACTGCAAACTGAAATGCACATGCGTTCCCCCATCTTTGGTCCTATATAAATCCACCCAGATGAGGTAGCATTCATTCGTTATTGAATTGCTACCATATGCCAAGATTGACAAGAAATCAGCGACACCAAGCCCTTGGACGATTACAAGATGGACAAACCGCCTGGCAAGTGAGTATGGTTCTACGCCGCTTTTAGCAATATTCCAGCAATATCACGGCGGGGGACACCAGAAATGGGCTTCACACATTGTACCCATGTCTGGAATCGAACCCGGGTCTTCGGCGTGACGAGCGAACGCTTTAACGTCACTAGGCTACCCGACCGCCCCCGCCCGGCAAGTAACCAATGTAGGACCATATACAGGCTCCAGCAACGGTACCAGAACACCAACACAACAGATAACCGACCACGTAGTGGAAGACCAAGGTTACTGCTGCGGAAACTGCTAGACAGACCACGGTGACACAGCCACAACACATTAGTGCAGACACCGTGCGTCGACGATTGACGAGAAGACACCTCCACCGTCACACCGAGGAGGCATTCTGACACCATGTCATCGCTGGGACCGTCTTCAGTGGGCAACACAGCACCAGCATTGGCGCCACCAGCAGTGGAGAAGAGTCCTCTTCTCAGACGAGAGCCGTTACTGTATCTCAACAGCAGATGGCAGAGAGAGAGAGTCTGACGTCGCCGTGGGGAACGTTATTCGGATGCTTGTGTTGAGACAGACTCGTGGGGTGGTCCGAGCATCATGGTGTGGGGTGGAATTGGTCTTGCACAGAGGGTCGGCCCTGTGGTCTTCCAGAATTTCGGTCCAGGGAGAGGCAATGGTGTCACGGCAGCTCGGTACATTGATCAAGTCTTGAGGCCACACGCCATACCTCATTTGTCACATCGCCGCAACCACAAATTTCAGAATAATAACGCCCGTGCCCACACTACGAGAGCGACAAGAGACTTCCTCCAGCAGAATGGCATCAGAACCATTCAGTGGCCTGCCCTCAGTCCCGATTTAAATCCCGTTGAGCACCTGGGACGAGATTCAAAGACGGCTGAATGACGTCCGATCAAGGCCGTTCCTCAGAGTGTGGGCTCGAGTGCCTATGGCGTTCATCAACCGCCTCATCCATTCCATGTATCGACGTTGCACGGCAGTCATCAATGCACATGGCGGGCACACGAGATACTGACTTGTGATGCCAATTTCTCAGAGACCAGTGTTGTGTTTCCCTTTGAGAACATTAGTCTCTTTAATTTCAACCTTGATGATCAGTTTTGCTAATACGTCTTTTTAATACGTCTCAAAGTATGTTTACAGTGTTTGGACAAATAAGGTTTCTCATATTTCTATCCATGGGGACGTTTCTTTTGCGGTTCAGTATATAATTGCATATGTTGTTTGAGGCCTTGTCAGTGGGAACAACTACAAAACTGATGGTATATTTACTCTAACATCCTTTCTGTCATGCAAAGAATGGGTTGATGATCTCAGACTTGAAATGTTGGTCGACACAATTAGAAACATTTCTATTGATGCCCGATCTATACTGGCTGATACTTGTGGATAATTTCTGTCTGTCAAACATAAATGATTACACAACCATGGAGGTCGTTTTTAGTTGGATATGACAGGTCTTCAAAATGTATCTCACGGTAAGCACATGCTTCTGATAAACTAAATCGGATGACTCACTAGGTAAAGTGTAAAAAAACAGTTAAAACATTTCTGATTGCCTTACAACCTACGGGTTAACGTCACATACGCACTTACGCACATGATTGTTCGCACATACAAATACATCTTGTCTTTCATGTTCTGTGTTCAGCCTACTGGTTCAAGCCTTCGCTCGTCACGCCCCGGGTTCGATTCCTGACATGGGTGCAATGTGTGAAGCCCATTTCTGGTGTCCCACCGCCGTGATATTTCTGGAATATTGTTAAAAGCGTCGTAAAACCATACTCACTCATTCACTATCTGTATTGAATGTAACCATGGCGGAGAGCTACAACGAGAGCTGTTTGCGAGTACAGCATAGGCTATAGATGTGGAATGTGCAATGTGACTTTGTTTCCAGCCTTCCACGTCTGTGGGGTGCTTCCCACTATCCCCGGGACTGAGGTCCAGAATGACAGTACGTACAGACACGCTGTGTAAGAAGCACTTCCGACACTGTACTAACAAGACCACCAGTGTGTACCAACAAACCGGAGTGTGGAAGCATGTGTCTCGCGTCTATGGACAATTCAGACGGCACAAACCGGTAAGGGTATATCACGCTTACCCTACAGTGTATTATATAGGAGTGAGTGAGTGAGTGAGTTGGGTTTAACGCCGCTTTTAACAGTATTCCAGTTACTAGTATATCGCGGCGTGTCAGCTTAGTGTGGGAGGAAAGCCCGAAGTGATTCAGGTCTCGGACGTTTACCACTTCGGTGAAACCCACGAGCACGGGCATGGTGCTGACAAACCTAGAAACATAATCGGGGCGAACTGGGATTCGAACACACAATCATAGATTTCTGGCATGCCCAAGGGATGCAATTCTGCACAGCGAATCGCGGCGCCTTGGACGACTTGGCCACCCGTGCCCCCTTATATAAGAGTGAGTGAGTTTAGTTAAACGCCGTTTTGAACAGTATTTCAGTCATATCAAGGCGTGTCCGACCGGTGATTCTAACAACAGTTGCATGAGTGTTATCTATATTTATCTGTATTCCAGGGAATGAACACAGCAGAATCACAAATCAATTCAAAGTCAAGTCATATGCATGTTTTGAATAAATATATATATGGATAATATAAAATCATTACACTCAGTAGCCTAAATATGCACGTATACTCCGTGAAACGTTGTGTTCATGGTAGATTCGTATCCTAGATCCTATAGATTCGGGACCGTGAAGATCCAGGTCCCATGCTTGCCGTAAAAGATGACTATGCTTGTCGTAAAAGGCGACTAACGGGATCAGGTGGTCAGGCTCGCTGACTTGGTTAATGAATGTCATCAATCCCAATTGCGTGGATCGATGCTCACGGTGTCAATCACTGGATTGGTACTTCGGATGCAAGCATGACATTTGAAAACGGGGTCCACGTATTTGCCATGTTCTTCGTGAATTTTGTCAATCACATCAAAGGGGACAATTATATACTGAGTCAAATTAAAAACTTCACATTTTTAAAAGTAATCCCATATATGATATACAACGGACAAATGTATCAGAGAAGTTAATTTTTAATCATTAATGTCCAAAGAAGGATTTTAATTAACGGTGGTAACCATAATTTGCTCCAAGCACCTACGGTATTCGGTAATAACATCAACAGTTTAAATCATAAGTCCCAAGCACGAGGATCTGATGGCACACAAGTTCAGTAGCGTGTATGGCCACCATGTGCGTTGACAACTGCCA